TATTTCATAGTTTGTAAAATGTAATTCACATGTATATGTGTCTTATTTTATAATAGCTTTTATAATAAGCCTTTGTTTAAACAAACGTGTATTGACCATGACTGCAAATTAGTTTTGGAAAAGAAAGTAAATTATCTTATTTAGCTAATTATAATATCTTCAGTATTGGAATCCAGTAGCAAGTAACAAGTTTTGAATATATAATAATACTCTCTTAAAGGAGTAGGAAGGATTAGGGAGACATAGATTATTAGATGTTTATCATTCTAAGTATCTGTTTTAAGAACTTTGCATATATTATCTGCGTATATTATCTTATTTAGTCTTCTGTACAGCCTGTAAGATTGGTATTATTCCTTGTGTCCATTTTATATATGAGGAAACAGACACAGAGACATTAGTAAATGGTTCAGTCCTGACATACATGCAGGCAGCATAGAACTGCAAACCAGATCTTTGGCTGCAAAGTATATTTCCAATTTACGTATGTAGAATTGCCACAGCCAGTAGTACTAATGTAATTTTCATGAATACAGACTGGTAGCAAGCTACATTATAAAATAAAATGTAGATGGGAGGGATTGATCTGTAAACATTGGCACATAAGAAATAAAGTAATAATTCTGAAGGAACAAGATTATGGTCATGCATATAATTCGACATTCCCCTGAATATTAGCATGAAAGTCAAGAGAAACATAAATGTATTTGTATACTAATCAGCTGAAACCTGATGGCACGGCAATGTTTCCTTGAATATTGAGCCATATATGAGTAATAAATCTAGATTAGGTTGTTACAGGGATAATCCAAACACATTCCCTCTTATTATCTGGTTAGTTGTTTGAAAACTACCTATGCAATGTGAAGCTCATGTTATTGCTGTAATGCTTTGTATTGCTCTACTCTCTATTTTTCTGTCTCCCTCATTTCTAACTCAAGTCTTTCTTCTTTAATACCAGACATTGAATTTAGATTTTTTTTTTTTTTTTTTTTTTTTTTTGGAGGCAGAGTCTCACTCGATATCGCTAGGCTGGAGTGCAGTGACATGATCTCTGCTCAGTGCAATCTTCTCCTTCCAGGCTCAAGCGATTCTCCTGTCTCTGCCTTCCGAATAGCTGGGACTACAGGCATGCACCACCATACCCAGCTAATTTTTGTATTTTTAGTAGAGACAGGGTTTTACCATGTTGGCCAGGATGGTCTTGATCTCTTGACCTCATGATCTGCCTGACTAGGACTCCCTAAGTGCTGAAGTCCTGGGATTACAGGTGTGAGCTACGGTGCCTAACCGGATGTTTTTAAGTGTTAGAATGCATCCTGTGTACAAACAATACAGCTCATGTACATTTAAACACATTCCAAAACTAGGTTCCATTTAGATTGTAAAGTAATAATTCGCTCATTCAATAAATTTTCATTGATCTCATAGCCAGTTTGGCGAGAGGCCAATAGCTAAAATAATTCAATAAATTGAAGCATTTCTCAGCTACTAGACACTCTAAGCTAGATTTGGTTTATGTGTGGGTTAGAATTGTGGAAAGGTGCCTGGATTTATTACTGGAAATACTACTGTTACCTAGATTTAATGACGCGTCAACTAAAACACAATACCGGAATAAGTGACAAAACAGTTCATATTATAGCTATATTTTATTTTCATCTTTATCAAACCAAAATATCTAGAAATGTCTACTAAAAGCACTGTATCTTTAGTATTGTGTAAAATACTTAGCAAATGTGAACCATTAAGATGGCTAAAGATGGATTTGGTAGAACTTTTCAACACAGCAAGTAATGGAAAAATATTATATGCTAATTTTTGCATTGTGACTAATATATGTGTTGTTTTGATAGGGAATACACAAACACACAGAATTGTAAAAACAACAACAACAACAACAAACTACACAAATGCCATTAAATGTGGGGGCAAAACATACAGTACTTGTAGAGGCCTCCATTCAAGTAGTAATATGTGCATTATACTTTCCTGAATTTGGAGAGCAACAGGCAGAGGTCTTCTATAGCCTTATACTTCCCAGATTCACCTTTAAGGGAAAGGCCTGGCACGTAATCTGGCAATACTGCCCTGTATGGACGTATGTCCAGCTTATGGCCACAGGACTCTGTTTTCCTTCTCGGCTGATGTCTGTGCTTTTCACATTTGTCATTCTGCACCTGTGTTGATTCTCCCAGCTGAGCTAATTGGCTGATGGCATTCTCTGAGCTGGTGGAGCTGGGAAAGGAAATGATTTCTGACCTAGTTTTCTCCTTGGGCTTTTTCTGTAGAGTCCGGTAGTGTGTGTTGTCAAGCCATATACACTTTCTTATGCTTCTTGTAGGTATGAAATAGCTCTCATTACCTAGCACTCAGGTGTTTTTAATTCAGGGGTTTATCAAACCAGTCTAGTGCAGTTCTGGCCACTCAGTTAGGACTGGCCAGAGCTGTTGACACCAGTGTGTGTGTGGCCTTTGATACAGACACACATCGATTCACATCATAACTTTTTGGTGCACATTTTGTTGATTTTGTTCCGCCAAGATGATGTTCATGTGTTCTTTTGTATTTGTTAGTATGTCTCCACGTTAGTATTATCCTGCTCAATATTTATGTTTTATTCTTTTGAGTAATTTCGGCACAGATGGCTTTTACTGAGACTTGCTATTCCATTGGCAAAGTCCATTTAATATGTAGCATTTGCAGGTGCCCATTAGCGTAACTATCCTTAGAAAAGAATTCTGGAATCCCCCTTGTATGTTGTTTTTGCTGCTGACTCAGAAGAGCAGTGATACATTTCAGATCTTCAGTATTTAGCTCTTTCTAGCTGTCATGAGACTTAAAGAAATTTAGGTTTATTAAAATTCCATAAACATTTGTAAAATCTGTTTTGACATTGATAAAGAAGGGCCATTATGAAAGATAATTTAAATATGTGAAAGCTTTATCTCAACTTCTCTTGATGCCTTTGAAAGCGAATTTAAAATGATTTGTAGTTTAATGAAGGTATATCCCTGCTGGCAATATCCAGATATCACATGTGCAGTTATTTTTTGCCTCATATGCAGATAGGGCTTTCACCAAATCTTGTGATTTTTCTGTGCAGTCCTGTTTGGGGCCTTAACACTTTGCCTCTTATTAACTACTGTCGCCTTCTGATTGATCTGGCTTTTGTTATTGTCCTCATTCCTCAACTCATTCTGCAAATAGACACTTGAGTAATCTTCTGAATGCACCACTCTAATGGTGTCCCTGAATTGGCGAAAGGCTTCTGGTTGCTTCTGATTACCCTAAGACGACTTTTGTGTCTGCCTGTGAGGACCCTCTCTAGGCTTGGCTCCTCCTCTCCATTTCTACCTTTTACTTGAGTCCTTTCTCTTTGCTCATTGTTCTCTTGCCTGTCAGTCTGAACTGTTCTCTAAATCTAGAATGTCCAGTTCTCTTCTCTCCAAGCAAGATCTGATCTGATTTCTTACTGGCTCTCAAGAAAGTTAATTCCTTTGGGAAAATGTTCCCTGGGCTATCCGAGTCTACAGAGGTCTTTTCCTCCTCTTTTTAATTAATGTCCTTCTCCACCCCCACTTTTCCTCCTTAACACTGAAGAACATAGTTTTTACTTTTGTGGCTTGGTAAGCTTATATGTGATTGGGTGTCATTCCTTTCATTAGACTAGAAGCGGAGAGACAGCATGGCTTGACATAGTGGTTAAGTGAGTGGTAAGTCTTGGGTTTAGACTTGGGTCTACATTGTAGCTCTAAGCAAGTTACTTTCTCTGTGCCTTAGTTCCCTTATCTGAGAAATGGGGCTGATAGTAATGCCTAACCATGAGTTGGCTTTTTTTCTTTAATTTGAGAACAGTCATTTCTCTCTAATACTACTAAGTACAATGCCTACTAGTACTGAACACGTTTTGTTTGCCATTAATCCTCTCTCTGTCCATCCTTCTTAGGGATTTTCTTGGTCCAGTTCACTACACAAACAATTTAGAGAGATCGCTCACCTTGTTTAGAACAGGGCAATTCTTTGAATCATATACAGGCTAAACTAGAAGGCCCGTGTCTTTCCCTGGAACAACTTCACATTTTCTTGACATACATATCCAGATGGTGTCGGTGTCCTTATTTTATGGACATATGAAATTGCATTGTATTTATGGTAGTTAAGTTCTTATGTGGCATAACAGTCTAGAATCAGAACATCGGAGTTTGTCCTGGCTCTGCTATTTATAGAAAATCAACCTTCTAGAGTTTTAGTTTCTTTTTTTTTTAAATTAAGTTAAATTTTAAAATTTTTGTGAGTACACAGGTGTATGTATTTATGAGGTACATGAGATGTTTTGACATAGGCATACAATGTGACATAAGCACTTAGTTTCTTTATATGTGAAATGCAGTGTTAATATCAGACCTCTCATTTTAAGTCTTATTCTGAGCCTTGAAAATAAGAATCATGTAGTTGTATGTTAATGAATGTCATAGTGTATTTTACTTAATCAATTTTTAGGCACATATTGTAAAATATGCTGGTATTAACTCATGTAATAACTAATTGAACCAGCAGAGCAATTCTGTGAGGGGATACTAATACATTATAGGGAAGATCAAACTACAGAGCTTAATTAATTAAGCTATGTGCTTTCTCATTTTGTCTCCTCAGCCAACAGTTCCAGTAATTTCAGAGGCATCTGAAGTTAAGCCAATTATGTATTTGAAACCTCCAACATTTTTCTATTTTTATTTTAGCTTAAAACAAAACAAAACAAAAATGCAATGCCTCTGAACTCAAAATAACAAAACTGTGATTAAAAGCACAAAATGCTGTGCAAACATATGAAAGTCACATGGTAAAATTAATGGATATTGAGCTTATTTTACCTATTATTGGAAGTTGGATATGTCAGTATTTCAGCAATGAAAACATTGCAGATGTGTAATATACAAAACATATACTGTGAAGATAGTTTGGAAACTTATGAGCTTTAATCTTTTTATCTATTTCAGGACTTTCTGGGACAAGTGTTTTGTACATTGGGAGAGATTGTTGGTTCACAGGGAAGTCGCCTGGAAAAACCAATAGTGTAAGTATTTTTTAATTCAGACAATGAAATGCCTACTCTTAACAGTTTTCCATTTTTTTCAGTTTGAAATTGGTGAATGCATGGTTGTGGACCAAAAGGGGTTTTAAAATCTTGTTTGAGTGTTTGTTTTTTCCAACAAATAGTTTTGACACATTTTTAAAGAAGAATTTCTTTGTCACCTGTCATAGGCTATGCTGAAAAATTTTCCCAAGATGAAATGAGAAAATTTAAACAAGGAAATTTGTTGTTTTCCTTTTGCTTGTAGTATTAATTGTTATATTTAGTACTTTTTGAAAGAGATTTTACTCTTTGGGGTTAGTAACTCTATATAGTAAACTACTGTTAATACCATGTATTTCATAAACATATTTTTGGTTATTGAAATTTTAATAATTTTTACCATGGAAGTGGCTGGTAGAGAAAGCTGTAAGTAGGTAAATATTGAGAGAGGGTAATGGCTAAGAATGATATCTTTCATCTTCACCTTCAATTACTAGGATCATGTTTAGATTTCAGGTGAATTGCATGAGTTGATTCTGTTTTGTTCAGTTCCAAATAAGGCACAGAGCAAATTTTAGAAATTTTTCATGGCTTTATTCTCCTTTTCTCTTTCTTTCCCCTTCTTAATCTTGATTATTTGGATTGACTTAACTGTACATGAAATTCAGAAGATCTAGAAAGAATAGCACATTTGCAGAGCTAACCACAATGTCCAAAGCTTTAGGGAATTTTGAAGTCTTTATCTTCAACAATCTTTTAAGAATCTCAAACTTAAAAAATAAATATGTTAATACTCCTTAAATCTGTTTATCTTGGACATAAAACAAATACTTGAAATGGCAAGGCATTGTTCTCACATTTTCCGTATAAAATTAAACTTTTATTTAGTGTGTTCAGTGCTATGCAATAAATTATTAGGCTAATAAGAATTCTGTAAATTATAATTTTTTGAAATTTAATTTGATTTTCTTAGAAAATTAGTACTGAATGTCAGTTTGAAAATTTTCATATATCAACTACCATTTTAAATTCCTTTAGTGTTTATTTTCACATGATTATAGGACTTGGAAGCTTATCACTAAAATATATTTATGCTCACTCTTGTCAGTAGTAAGCAGTCTGTAAGGCAAATGCTAATGTTGTATTGAGTGCATGTAATTCTAATTGCATTTTCTAGTCCAGTGACTCATGCTTACAGTGATTCCGAGGATCACTAAATCTACCTTTTGTTTTTTGCCACAAAAAGTGTCAATAATATGTACAATACCACCTTAAAGATGCCTTTAACATTCTTCAAGAGAAATCAAATGCAATTAAAATACAGAATTTTTATTTCCAAACAACAGAATAGAGATTTTTATAAATTGGCACACTTTTTTAGTATGTATGTATGTATTTACTTGCTAGCTTTTGTTTTAGGTTCAGAGGTATTCGTGCAGGGTTGTTGTATAGATAAATTGTGCAGCTCAGGGATTTGGCATACAGATGATTTCATCACCCAGGTAATAATTATAGTACTTGATAGGCAGCTTTTCAGTCCTCACTTTCCTCCCTTTCTCCACCCTCAAGTAGGCTCCAGTGTCTATTGTTTCATGACTACTCAAAGTTTCTCTCTCACTTTTAAGTGACAACGTGGTATTTGGTTTTTTGTTCCTGTGTCAATTTGCCTAGGATAATGGCCTCTAGTTTCATTCCTTTTGCTACAAAAGATAAGATCTCAGACTTTTTTATGTCTGTCTAATATTCCATGTTGTATATTTACCACATTTTGTTATCCAGTCTGCCATTGGTGGGCATTTAGGTTGAGTCCATGTCTTTGCTATTGTGAATACTGCTGCAATCAATGTACACATGAATGTCTTTATAGTAGAACGATTTATATTCCTTTTACTGTGTACCCAGTAATGGGATTTTGGGGTCAAATGGTAATTCTGTTTTAAGTTCTTTGAGAAATCACCAAATTGCTTTATACAATGGCTGAACTAATTTACATTTCCACCAGCAGCAGCATATAAATGTTCCCTTTTCTCTGCAACCTCACCAGCATCTGTTACTTTTTGACTTATTAGTAATGGCCACTCTGACTGTTCTGAGATGGTATCTGCTTATGGTTTTCCTTTGCATGTCTCTAATGATCAGTGATGTTGAACATTTTTTCCTATGCTTGTTGGCTATGTGGTATACATATTTTTAAATTAGTCATTTATTGGAAATTTTTATCTGTTTTTTTTTCCAACATAAGGAAATCATAATTCTTATTTCAGAAAACTGTTAAATTATTAAGTTACAAAAAAATTTCCCAGTAGAAAATCCTATTGATATTCATTTTGGAACATGTTAAAAATTTGATACTATTATAACGTATTGATTGGGGTATGTGGTGAATAGAACATAGCACAAGATAATGGTCCTTGTTCACTGATTCAACAATTCCCACTAGGTGAGACCAACAAAAATATATTCATGCTAAGAGGTGAAGATACCTAGGATAGACTGATAGAATTTGCAGATGTTGGCCAGGCACGGTGGCTCACGCCGATCATCTCAGCACTTTGGGAGGCCAAGGTGGGTGGATCACTTGAGGTCTGGAGTTTGAGACCAGCCTAGCTAACAGTGAAACCCCATTTTTACTAAAAATAGAAAAATTAGCACAAGCCTGTAATCTCAGCTACTGGGAAGGCTGAGGCAGGAAAATCGCTTGAACCCAAGAGGCGGAGGTTGCAGTGAGCTGACATTGCACCACTGCGCTCCAGCCTGAGCGACAGAGCCAGACTCCATCTCCAAATAAAAGAATATGCAGATATTGGGAGAATTTGCTGGGGCTTGAGTCATAATCATTTATGTCAGCAGAAAGGATGAGATACCTTAGATTTTTCTTAGCTCTTGCTGAGGATGGAGTATAACGTCTATATATTTCACATAGTGTAATCAGAGAAAGCCTTCAAAACTTGTTCATCCATCATGGATCTATAGTAACCACATGTTGTGCTTCATCTAGAGTATTCTGAAATTTAGACAACTTTATTGAAGACCCTCAAGTTCTATCTTTCTTACTGAAAAAGGAACAATTCTTTTGATTTTCTAAGTTTATATAACTAAATTTTTATTCAGCCCTTCATCTCCTTGGACAGTCTTCTCAGGCAAATAAACATTAAGAAAATAGTTTAAAGGTAAGATTATTGTTTGAGCAGTGGAAGATTTTTGAATTATTCTAAGAAAGCTTAGCTAGACAAGTTTTAGTAGTAAATGGGTAGTGCAATGTAAAGCTTGAGTGTAGCAAAGAGATGGGATACAGAAGAAAAAAGCAAAGAAAGAAAACCTTAGGAATTGCAGAATGATGGCAGTTACATTCATTAAACATGAGTGAATTGGATTAGATACTTAGATAAGCAGAATAGAGGAAAGAGATGAGAGGGGGAAATGAAGTAGGAGAGATTAAAAATGGGAGAGTAAAAGTGAGTATGATTAGTTTGCTAATGGAAGGATATTTTGGTTTTATATATTAAGGCATCTAGTGACATGTGCGATCACTGGATCAGATGTACCAAGGCAGGTGAACAATGGATTGGAAAAACCATTTAGAAGTCACCCATCCTCTTGCATGAGAAAAGATTGGGTTTAATGAAAAACTCTAGCTGTGAGAGAGTCACGTGTCTTGCGGAAGAATGTGTGGATTGAAGATAAAGGTCCATTGGCTAAGTGTTAAGTTTAGGTACTTTAAGAGAAGATGCAGCTTCTATGCAAATAGCATTGTACCTCAAATGAAAAACAATCAAAACCATTCATACTTTTTGTTTGAAAAAGCATGGTTGGGTTGAGGAAGAGCAAAATGCTGTTTGCGTGGAAACTTTATCTGCCAGTGATGCCAAAGTAGCCCGACAGAGCAGCTGGTCCACTCCATGGACTCCTAAATTCTGCATTCATCCTGGCTGGCTCCTGCTCTTCCATGTACTTTAATTTTTTTCCCTGGATCAATATAATAAGCAAATAGTGGGAAGAAATGGGAACACAGTGGAAGATGGAATGGAAAAAAGGATGAAGCCAGGGAAGTTATTGGAGATGGTGCAGGGTCAGGAAGTGTTTTCTTCTCATGACAGGAAGCTTGGTGACAAACACAACTTCTAAGCCTCTATGTTTTCATACAAATAAATAAAAGTAGTAAAATTTACTAATTCATGACCAAAATAATGGGGAAATTGACAATGGGGAAATAATAGTTATTTTAGGTGTAGCTCTTCCAACTAGTCTTCCAAGTTTCCACTACTTCCTGCTATCTTCCTGCCTGAACCTGCCCGGGCCATATATCTTTAACTGCCTGGTTGAAGATAACATTGTAGGACAGCCGCTAAACATGCTACTGTTTTTCATGGTCTGTTCCTCATGACTGGGGATACAAATAGAATTTGCACACTTCTGCTGCTACTGCCATTACTTTCTGCAATCATGTTGGTAAGGGGTTAGGATTTTCCCTATCTGGATGGGCATTGGCTTCTGAATTGCAGTGTAGGACACCTCCAGAGGCAGATAGTCCACTCTCAAGTAACACACAATTAATTTATCATGAATTAAAGTCTTTGTGTGTCCAAAATGTTATTTAAGTAGCATTAGCCAAGTACCTCTTATTTATTAATTTGTTTTAGGTTAGAGATTTATTTTCCAATGAGTTTCCCATTTATATTCTAAGTTATTTAGAATACTTCCTTGTTTTTTTCCTTTCCTTTAAATGGCCTAATTTAAATTATTTTCTGATAAGATACTGAGAATAATTTCTCTAGCTGTTTAATTGTGATTGTGTTGTAATATCTCCTTAGAAGTAGCCTTTTTAAATTTATGATAACTATAAAAATGGGAGTTTTAAAGGAGACAAATTAGTATTTGAAATTATTTAATATTAATCAAACTTTTGACAACTAAGGATTATTACGAAGGTAAAATGATTTCTTGTATGTAGCCTCTTGCCTCATTAAGTAATGAGGACTTGAACTTAACCTCAGGCTTTT